CAATCCAGACTCTCATTAGAAGCTGTAGGAAGTGTTTAGAGGCTGTTATTTCTGTGAAAGGAGGAGATACTAAATGTTGACTTAAGCGTTTTTTATGGTGCCCAAATTTATGCACCTGCCTAATTTAGTTTAACCAATTATTGCACACTTTCTGTAAATCATCAACTTCATTTCACTTCTCAAATATCACTGTGTTTGTCCTCTATATAATATATTTAACTGATGTTTTTAATCCAAACAATCAAAGAATTATGAAGGTAAATCAGGAAAATTAAGGCTGCCCAAACTTTTTCATATGACTGTAAGACACACAAGAACATTTATAGAAGGACAATAAGGATCAGGGATCAGATTTATAAAGCATTGCGTGGAAACCATACTAAAAGTGAATGTAGAGCCAAAATAATCTTCAGATTTATAAAACCGTACGTACGCATGTTTCTGTACATCTTTCCTTTATAAATCACAGCTTCAGGTCAGAGTTTGAACACGAGGTCCTCCTCAGGTTCTACCCTCCACACGCCCACACTCAACCATRAACAGTCAATGTAAAGTACCTCATGAATGTTAAGATGTATTTAAATCAGTCAGCTGATCAGTGATTGGTTCAGACAGGTGCTGACTGACAGCTGCTCACCTGAACACAATGTCTGGAACTGACACAGATTTTACCTCATTTTGCTTTAGAGTAATCTAATGATTTTTATCAAAATCTCAGCTTCAAATTAATTTTCTCTCAGAGCCTGCAGGACGATAAAAACAATAAATAAAATTAAATCAGTCAGGTAAAATTAGAAATAAGTTTATCACTCTTCTCCCCCTCCTGCCTGCTCTGTTATCTGCAGCTGATCGTCTCCTCACCCCCTCACATGTCCACAGCCCCCCGCAGTGACAAATACAGACTTTAAACAGTGAACTTTTACAACATCCACACTGGTGAGGAGCCCTGAGAGTACCCAAGCATGACTTGGGTACAAGTTCTTTATTTCAAAGGTCCTCATGGCTCAGCAGCAGCAGCAGCAGCAGCAGCAGAAGCATAAATATAACTGTTAAGAAAGCTGATGATAAAGTTGAATAAAAATCTAAGTCTGATGAAGGTAAATTAAATCTCTAATTCCTCACTTCACCATCTGTGTCRCAGTTTCACGTCTCCAAAATGAGCGTACGCATGGGTCAGAGCTGTGAGGCACATTTTCACGTCAAGTTTGGATTTTATAAATCACAACCTTGGCGTAAAAAGTGGCGTACGCAAGTTTCTGGGCTCAAATTGTGTATAAGAAAGCTTTATATATCCGACTCCAGGTCTTTTAAAAGCAGAACATTTCTGAGTAAATGTTTACAGTCACATGCAGCTGTTGTCCAATATTCCAATATAACTTTGAAATAATCTAGGCTTCAAATATTGCCAACATTTAGATGTATGAACTGTATAAGGAACATAAAGAGAACCAAGATCAAAGGAAATGTCAGAGCTGCTGCCAGCGTCTCATAGGWGGCAGACAAATACTGGCTGTGTGAAAACTACAAGTCAGATCCAACAAAATCATGAACTTTAAGTGATGGTTACCAAGGGTCGTATTAACCAAACTTTTTCTGTATTTGACTGTTTTTTTTAATGTTGACAGGAAAATCTGAAGGCCATCCATTATTTTGACAGATTGCAGATGATCTGAGCATCATCTCAGATCTACACACCGTACTGAACGCATCTCACTCTCTGGGAGCTGACAGTGTGTTGCACAGAAAAAACCCTGACTAGTGTGAAGTCTGTCTGACATATAGAGATATAAAGATGACTGGATTTTCTCATTAGGTACTAAAATCTTATTGATTGCCATTTTTTTCACTTCTGTAAATTTTTGTATTTGTTGGGTGGCGTACCTTTACCAAACGTTCCAATAAAATATTCCTAACTGAACTAAATGTTTTAGTTCATAATTTGTATATTTTATAATTAACACAAAATTTGAACAACAAAAACACTTTTTCATTGCAATCAACCATCAGGTACATTGGTTTGATGGTTTCGACACGTCTTACCTCCCGCCACCAGAGGGAGCTGGTGAGTTTATAGCTTGGACCATGTCTGTGGTGAGGGCGTCTAACAAGCTTGTAATGAATTCTGCTTTCTTCTCCTCTGGACAGCCTGGGACAAATTAAAGAGAAAACAATTACCTTGTATGACTGATTGGGCTCATTACAGCACAGTGCGGTGCCTGTAAAACACTGACACAGTAAATCAGCCTGGCTGATCTCAAACAGAGCAGCTGTTACCTAAAGTAATCACTGCACTGTAGTCCAGAGCTTTAGCTGAAACAATGATCCAGTTTTATTGGAGGTGATGGTTGTTGGGTGAGGGACAGACATGTGCAGTGCTTTCACACAGCGTTGTTGAACAGTGCACACCTGTTAACTTTTATGACACAATTCTGAATGCTTGGGTAGCTCCTTTATTTGTCCAGATGTACGGTTTTAATGGTTAGCCTAACAAGTGCTAATGTTTCTCTTAGTCTGTGTCTCTTATGGCGTAACGTCAAACATGGCAGAGAAAACCTAATCTTAATCTGTCCCCAATAACCCATCCTTTAAATCTTAATCCAACGTTTTATCAAGTCAACTTTATTGATATAGCACATTTAAAAACAACTGCCGTTGGCCGAAGTGCTTTACATGCCACAACTAGAAGAAAAACAAAAAACAGAATACAAAGTTAAGAACAATAAAAAATATAAACATAGAACAAAACTTTAAAAGTGGAAAATAGCCAACTGCCATGCTGGATTAAAAGCTCAGGTGTGTTTTAAACAGCCAAGAGTTGAAGCCTGTAATGTGAAGGGGCAGCTGGTTCCACAGATTAGGAGCCGCAACTGAAAAGGTCCGATCACCTCTGTGGACCAGTCTGGACCATGGGACAGCCTGGACAGTCCCATTTCCTCCTCCTTTGTATATTTGTGTTTTCCTTCTCATCTACACTGGTCACATCTTTTCTTTCCCTTTATGTTAGCAGAGAGTGTTCTGCAGGAGGTGGTCGGCTGYAAAGTCAGCTGAATCCAATTAGGATTTTTTTCTTTCTTTTACAACAGGACAGGTGTTGTGTGCCTCAATCCAAGTATCAAATTGGGCTGTTAACGTCCATCCGTCCATTTTCTTCCTCTTATCCGGGGTCAGGTCACAGGAGCAGCATATGGGCAGTGTTGCCAWCTCCTGAGCAAGAAAAGTCCCTATTGGCTGTCCTAGAAGTCGGTAGATGACGTCATCACCTAATTTTCATAGTTGGATGTTTGCCAATAATTGTGATCTGAGCTATTGGAGAGATGATGAAGAGTGAAAAAGTGAATAAAAACACTAAATATGTGTAGAACTGCAATTAAACTTAATTAAATAAAAAAAATTTATGACTTTAATGCTTAGATCCACATAAATTAAATTTGTGGGAATCTTAAATTTAATCTGCAGACTGTTAGATGTCAGGAGGCACAGGGAGGAAGAGGTGAAGAAGTGAATGATTTGTGAGTGTAACACAGCTGGGCCCACAGATTTAGTTTACAGAGACAGTACCAGAGAAAAAAAACCATTACAATAAATATTACATCCCGCTTTGTAAACCAGACAGAAGCAGTGGCAGCTTTGTGCATGCGTGATTCCTTTGCAGCGGTCTCTCCTCTCAGCTGACTTTAGCCGGGGGTGGGGGTAGGTAGGGTTGGGGGTGCTGCACGAGGCTTCAGTGAGTCGGACGGCTTTAGGAAGAGGGAGGGGCTCACCTCTGCGCTCGCTGCTTGAGGAGGAACAGAGGAGGAAAGGAAAAAAGTGCTTGGAAAAAGCTGTCGCCAAAGCTCCTAAAAGTCTCTAAAAACACTGGGAAAAGTCGCTGGATTTGTCGCTAGTCGCTTTTTGGGAAAAAAAGTCGCTAGATCTAGTGACAAAGTCACTAAGTTGGCAACAGTGCATATGGAGTGCCTTTTGTAAAGTTACACAGTCAAAAATTACCACTAATATTTTTGTTTTATTTAACCATTTATAAGAAAAAAAGAACAGATTTATTTTTCAAAGTCAATTTTTCACCATATGATTCATACATTTATAAATGTCATAGTTTATAAACTAAATATTTAACTTACAAATTAAATATTTAGTTAACAAGTTAAATATTTAACTTGTGACTTAAATATTTAGTTTTGAGCTAAATATTTAGCTTGAAACTTAAATATTTAGCTAGCTACCTAAATATTTAACTTTTGTTTTAAAGTTTTATTTAAGTTTTGGTGTTCAGACCCTGTTTGTGCTGTGAACAGCAGCTTCAGATGAGGAATAGAGATGTCTGAGTTTTGCGTAGTGTCATAATCAGAAAGTATTGACACTGAACATCACTAATAATTTATTCATCTGCAAGGTTTAATTACCATTTACAGTCTTGGCATAAAATATTCTTCATGAAAAGATTACACACCTTCCCACATCAATACAAGAAACATTTTTACTACTTCTACACAAATAAAATGTTTAATTTTTGTRCAGGTGGTAGCTTTAGGAAATCAAACATTAATCTCTAAATTTCCTAAAGTTTTATTGTTACCTGGAGTGAAACTTCCATAACTCTGAACCTAAACTTGTGCAATAAAAAAAGTAAAGTGAAACCTGTCAGCGGTCTGTCCAGGAATGGATCTTCTGGCTCAGGAACTGGAGATCGTGCATCTTCATCACACTCCGGGGTCTTGTACCTGTTTCACAGACACGATAGAAAGTCAGACACAAGCTGGAAAAAAAACTTTAAAGGCCTTTGCAGGGGTTTTGAGTTAATTTGCTGATTAGAGTGTGACACCAGGTGTTTTCTATATTGAACCTGTTGTGGAAAATATTCCACCAGGCAGAAAATACATGAATAAACAAAGTGTAACTGCGTGGTGGAATATTTTCCACAACAAATTTTGGCGTCACAAACAGGATTTTCACAATATTCTAATTTTCTGAGATAATGAATTTGGAGTTTTCATTAGTTGTCAGCAGTGGTGGGCAGCGCTAATTCAAAAGTTAGTTCCACAAATTTTAAACCGCTAATTATTTTCTTTAGTTCTGCACKTTCTAAAGCACACGTYATAAATATTTTAGCGGAAGCTAAATAGATCCGCAACATTGGCTCAGTTCACCAGAATATAKATATATTTCCAGTGATAGCATGAGCCATTCTTGCACAACACTGCCATCTTGTGGCAGAATGGGTTACTCTCAACCCAACTTACATCTTCTTGTTCTTTTCGTTTATTGGCAGATTACAAACAACTTTCAGGTGCATACCGCCAAACTTACATCTTGTCGCAGTTTCAGGAAGTCATTTATACAATCAGACATTTGAATCATGGTGTTAATTCAAAATAAAAAGTTGTTGTGGACTGCAAGTTTTGCTGCTTCTTGATCATTTATTTTTCTTATGTTTATGGCTTTGGTAAGAAAGCATATATTAGTCATTTTAAACTGTTTCTTGGAGAGCTGAAGCGATGCATTCTGGGTAAAGGACCAAGTGGAACCCGTCATTTCAAAATAAGAGCCTGAATTTAAACCGCTGTGTGTTGCTTGCTTCAATACGACGTGACGTGAGACAAC